GATAAGAGCAGACACCACTACCACCCGGGGAGAGGCTCCATCTATTGGTGGGGAGCATCACCTGCTGGAAAGCGGGTCCAGCGTCCCATATACAGAAWRTGATCAGAGAACGTCAGAGAAAAATTCCTGCCAGCATTGATTACCCTGGATTACAGGGGATTGACTGAGCAGGACGTTGGGTAAACACTTGGGAAAACGATTTTTAGAACAATAACTAGAGAAAATCTGCCAGTATTGACTGCTTTGGACTCCCGGACTGGTTGTGAAAGTTCTCTAACTGTAGTCACCAACCCAGCTGTCCATTATCTGCAGAGGCCATGGGCCTGGAAACGGCAGCCCTCATGCAGAAAGATGCCTGAAATGGGTAGGCGGATAGCGGGCGTCCGGCTGATCCCCTTCTCCTTCTTCAACCCTTCATCTGGTCAGGGTACCAGGAGGAGCCACTGGGGGGCACCAGTGGGTCCTCCCGTCACCCAGCCCTTCCTCGAAATAAGGATATATGAGAACAGTACTGAGCAGGTATACCTCTGAACTACCTGTAAGACACCATTGTCACCCAATTGTAGAGTCGGTCCTACCGGCCTTGATTTCCCTGGGATCCGAGGGATCCAGGGGATTGGCTGCGCAGTATTGGGGGGGGACCTCTTCGCCCTGGGTCCGGCGCCAGATACACAGCTACGCACTGGTTCCTCCCCTCAAACTGTGTCAGGACCGTGCCAGCCGGGAACAGGGTGATCCGGGGTGATCCGAAGGACCCCATTGAGCCCCTTCTTCAGTCAAATGCTGTGATCAGCGAGAGCGGGTGAGGAGGGAAGGGGTCTGGGAAGTCTGACGGGGGGCGGAGGGGGAAGGATGGTTCGATAGTTGTCCACTCGTTGAAGGTCAAACGGTAATTTCTACATTCTACCAACTCCAGGTGCTGTTGATCTTCCTTGTTGCCGTCCCACTCGATCCTCGCTACCCATCCACCTCCCTCCCTTCCTAACCAGTCCCTTTGGAAGGACGAGATTGCCTTCTTTATGTCTTTATTCATCTGAAAGCAGTCCAGCTGTCGTTTTAGAGCTTGCCATCTTCTCATTAGTTCCATCTGGAACTGTTGCTGGATCTGCTCTGTTACCTCAGCGCCGTCTACCTGTACACTTTCTCTGGCCAGGAGGCAGCGCTGCCACCAAAGCCCCCAAAGCACCGCTCTACGGCCCAGATTGAACATATTTTCAGTGAACGTGGACTCCTCTTGGGCCTGGGGCCAATGGCCCAGCAGTATCGCCCTCCAGGTCCAGGGCCATGGAGTGTTGGGGACCATCTTTCTCCAGATTCTGTCCCACCAGCGCCATGTGAGTTGCGCAGTTCGACATTGCATAAATATATGTTAAATTGTTTCTGCATTTTTTTGTGGAGGAAAGGTTCTCAGGCACCGCGCACACCAAGGGAGAGCTTGGCCTTTTTGTTCCAGATTTGTGTGATCAATCAACCAATCCATTGTTGGCAGACATCGGTGTGCGATCTGCCATTGTAGGGAGGTGAACTTTGCCGGTTTCTCTTTGCGTCCCTGGAACCAAGATATCGGCGTCAGGAGGGAACGGTCTACTTGTAAGTGTTTTGCCCATCTATCAATTATTCTGTCTTTTAGATGACGTTTGGGTCTGAGCATTTTGTATGTAGATTTTACCGTCAGCTTCTGGAGGCTAATCTCAGTTGCAGGGTTGGCTTTGCGTCCCGCAGGTTTCCATTTTCATTCAAGAGGGGGGAGGTCCTGAATCTCGGTGTCAGGCTGGAATGCGCAGGCTTTCTCCCCCTCCCCAAGGACTCGAATGCGGAAGATGTCTTCCTTATTCTGCCACATAAAAGGGGCCCGGCTCCCTTGCAGCCTTCCTGATCTGTCAATTGTGTACCTTTCTACTAGGACGTCATGAATTCTGATTGCATGAACCTTTCCCACCTGATCAGTGAGCCCTCTGATTGCCACCCAGTCCCCTTCCCGCAGTGTTGGACCCCTTCTCAGTATTCTATACCAGGATAGCGGTACTGCCTCTATAATTGTGTCTAAACTATGATCAACATGATGACAGTACCGCAGTGTGCTGTGCAGTTCATCAGGTGTTTTCCAGCTACGCCGGGTGCAGTCCCAGATGTCTTTTACACGGGTGACCCCGTTTTTCACCCAGTTTTTCCATGGGGCTGCCGAGTTGCACATTACCTGACTGTTTCTGTCTGTAACCCAGCGGTTTCCGAAGAGGGGTTGACGAAGTACCTCCTCCCATCGGTCCGGTTCATCCTTGTTTGGGAGGGGGAGTTTTCGCCAGCTTTGCAGAAGTGACAGCCAAAAGTCATTTGTGTGTTCTCTGGGTTCCCCCTGTCTACGTGGCCACTTCCGTGGAATGGCCCAGTAGCGGTCCTCCAGCCAGGTTAGGGGGTGCACCCCCGCGGGGGCCTGAGGGGCTATGAGGGTCAAGTGTTCTAAGGCCAAGGGTTTCCAGGGGCTGTCTTTATCCAAGATCAGCTTCTTAACCCATTGGAGTCGAAGCGTTGTAGTTTGAGTTGTAGGGTCGATTATCCCTAAGCCCCCTGCGACTTTGGGCTGTATGATCGAATCCCACGCCACCCAACTTATCACTTTTGTTAGCTCTCCGTCCCCTCGCCATAAAAAGGCCGCCACCTTGGTTTTGAGTGTGTGCAGGGCCTCCTTACTCAGTGGCTACACCAGTGACTTGTACCAAAGCGAGGCAAAGACCACATTGTTTATCACCAATGCCCTGCCAAAAAGGGATGTGGTCCTGTTTCGCCAGTTCTGAATGTAGTCTTTTTAAGCCTTTTAGATGTAGGTTAACAAGGTACGACTCACTACTTACTACTTAGGATATATAGTTGACCTATTACCTAACAAGACCAAGACCCCTGATGACCGCTGGTCACGGCGGCCAGCGGAAACCGGTCGGGTCATCGCCGTAACGTTCCGAGACATTGTCACTTCTTTTTCGTCGGAATGAAGTCACGTTCAGGATTTTTCAACTATATCCTTTGATTGTCTTCTCTCCTATCATTTGTTTGTCTTCTCTCCTCTTCTTCTTCTTCTTCTTCTTCTTCTTCTTCTTCTTCTTCCTTTGATGAGCTGTGTATGTTAACAGTCACGTACTACTATTGTTTGGTTACCTACTGGTTGTCACACAACAACAACAACAACCACCTCCCTGGAATCCTATTGTAGTCCTTTCCATTCCACCTTCCCTATCTTTCCTCCATTTGTCCCCCCTAGCCAGCATGAGGAAAAGTCGTGGATTCTTTGTTGGATGTCAATCTAGCATTGGGGTCTTACATGCTTTTTGCGCACCTACCCATGAAACTCTACAAGCGGTGGCAATGCTTGCAAAATAAATAATGGTACTACTCGCAACACAGCTTGAGGGACATGGTGTTGATGGGTTGCCGCTCAGGCCTCATGGGCTGACTGGCCATGGATGTCGGCCATTGTTGGGCCGGCCTTTTACCGCAGTTGGCTATTCAGGGGGTGTACTTTTCTCCTGGTATTGAAGTGGGGGGGGGTTGTGATTGGATACTAGATGGGCTGTCTTGGGACTGTTTGGAGCGGTTTTGGCCATGTGGCAGGTCGTGGACTTAATGAATTCGGGCATGGCACGTTGCAATTTTAACATGGTGGACAAAAGACTGAAGGGAAGCGATCATGATTGAGATCTTCATGCAGGTTGTATTACAACTTTTCCGCTTTTATTGTCTCTTCCAATATTAGCAGGTGCTATTACTATGCTATTAACTGATAGAAATTTTAATACCATTTTTTTTAATCCTGCAGGAGGAGGAGATCCTGTTTTATTTCAACATCTGTTTTGGTTCGTTGGTTGGGATGACCACCTTAGAGAGTGATCTCTAAAGAAAAACGTTGCCGTAAAATGGACATTTTATATTTTTTGAACAAAATCAAAACCCATTTACTTGGCCCTGAAAATGTCACCTTTTAACTCCTTGGGGTCCTCCTTGGATGTACCCGAACTTAAGTCCAAATGGACTCTCAAGAGATAAACGGTGATATTTTTTGGGCCAAGTAAGTGGGTTTTGATTTTGTTCAAAAAATATAAAATGTCCGTTTTGAGTCTTTTGACGAAATCCCTGTTCTAATTTCACGGTGGCTTTTCTGACACGATCTGCATGTCTCTAAGCTTGATCTTCTCGATCTTCGTTATAGTTATCAAGCACAAAACACAGTAATCTAAACGAAGATGATGTGAGTTTTAATATCATGACGTCACCAACTCCTTCCCCACTCACCTTGATTGAACACCATCAGGGAATTCTCAACCCTTCGTTATAGTTATATTTGCTCACTTCCGTTGATACTTCTCTGCATTCTCAAACCTCTTGTTTCATCTTTCCTCGTAATTTCTGGATTTTAGTTGTGGTTTCTGTGAAAAATTTGTTAACTCTCTCGCAATTGGTAGCTAGAGCTCTCAATTACTCAATAATTGTGCTACCAGCTTCCCATGAACACAATGCAACCTCATCATGACTGTATCAGACCGGAAAGATGGCTTGCATACATTCATAATCAGGGTGTGCTATGTTCGGGGGAAGACGGTAGCCGTAATTTTGAAAATTCCAAAAACTTTTGTCCTGAAGAATTTCTTAATTCAATCAGGACCAAGAGTCGGGTGGGTCTAATCTTTGTCTAATCATAAACACTTCACAAAACTTTGTAGATAAAAATCATCTCATCTCTAGTTCTTACGCCATCACATACATTTACTCATATTCCATAGTTTTGAAGTTTGTGAGTTGTTTGGATCTTAATCGTCATGATTCTTGATAATATGTCTCTCTCAATTGATGTCGGTCTCAAATCCTGATGGTTTTTACTAGAAATTTTGTCGGCTGCTCGATTTTCCACTGATTGAGAGGTTGTAAGAATTTTTCATCCTTGTCTTGATGTCCTAAGCTGGTGACACTGGTTCAATAATTGGTTTTGATTGGCCTGTGTGCCAGAGGAGGAGAGCCCTACCCTGCGGAGCATCACAAGGTGGTAGGTGTATGGGCTTGAGGGGGTCAGGGAAGAGATTTGTGGGGTTGTCCTAATCTGGAGCTGGGGTAGATATTTGGGTCTGTATCAACCCTCGCAGGGGCAGATAGTGGCAAGGGGGTAATTAGGGGAAGGGGAGGTTATGTGGGCTATTCCAATTGAGGGGGTGGAATGGTGGGCAGGGGGAATCTTTTCTCTATGGAGGAAGACTTTTGGTGGGGGTCTGTCCTTAACTGGGGCCGGTGAGGAGAAGGAAGCCTCTCCCAGAAGGGGCAGCAAAAGGACGGGGGGTGTTTTTGGTGGAAGGGGGGATTTATACCGGAACTGATGTAAATGACCTGGTTGTCCCCTCCAGAAGTGGGAAGGTTAAGATTGCCTCTCCGATCCGACTATCCTATCCTGGAGGGAGGCAGCAGGCAGTTTAGGCCAAATTTTGGGGCCACTGGCAATACGGCTACAGGGGATCTCCTTTGAGGACATGGTTCTAATTCGTGAGTGGGTACGAAGGTCATTGGTTCTGATTCGCGAGTGGGTACAGAGGTCGCTGTATTTCTTTACGAAGACGAGCAAGGGGTTTCAGCGAATAGAGATTCAGGGGCAGTGGGTGGGGGCTTGGAACCCCTTCGATGGCGGAGACGGTGGCTGATGGAGGCTGGTCGTTGGGGCCTCGGATCCTTCTCGTAGTTTGGACCTCGTTGCAAGGGCCTTGCGACTGAGGGGTCCGCCAATCAAGGTCTGAATACCCCTTTGATGATGAGACGAGGTCTTTCGGGACCTTGTTGATGGCTGTGACTCCTGTTCCGGCTATGGTTAGGGATTGTAGACCTCTTCATGAGGGCGGAGTTGGGGTGCCCTTGTCGGGTGCAGTTTCCATTTCCTTGAAATGACGGAGACGTGGCCTTCATGGTAATCATGGCATACAAATGTTGAGGACGGCGATTATCTTTTGACCACGCATGACTGGGACTGATGCGGGTCTATACCAGGACGGAGTTACGGGTATTCTTATGGACGGAGACCAGACCTGGGCTGCTGGTTGGCGTCTGGAAACTCAAGTGATGAGGGGGATGAGGACCACCTATTCCAAACTTCGACAGCTTTCTGCAAATTCTCATGTTTTCTCCATAACGTGGTTTGTGGTTGGGTGCATTACGTCCTTTGGAGTCTGGACTGTTATAGGGCACAGCGGCTTCAGAGACACTGGCTCGAAGCGAGGAGAGTTAGGTTCGTACAGAGGCCCAAATTGATGCTTTTGTCCCTTGTTTTGGTGGCTTTGCCCCTTTTGTTAATTCCTCATTCAAAGTACTTCTTTCCTCTGTCTTTGTGACTGACGATATGGAATTCCTAAGCCGAGGCCAGGGAATGTTGATAGATTAGTCGCATACACGTCAAACATGAGATACAGACACGTTGTGAGATATCCACACATTGACAATGTACATGTGAATCGTCAATGAAGTACAAAAAACACAGGTATGGCATCCCGACGCCGCATTTCGACGGCCGCCACGCCGTCCTCCTCAGGGGGTTCTGCCGGCCTTCGACCCTTGACGTTAGTCAAACCACAAACCCACTCCCGTTCTTGTTTTCCCGGACGCATCCGGATGTGCTGGTAATCAGGATACGTTCGACCTGTGTGAGGGCGAAACTCTACGTACTTACTACCTAAATACTGCCTACTATTCGAAGATCAAGTGTCCGTGTAGGAGCACACAAAAAAAGTGTCAAGCCTTGGCCGACACCGGGTCCGAGTTTCCACGGGTTCCAGTTCCGTCCTAGTCAGATGGTACGCATAAAACCCCGAAAAATAAGCAAATGGTACCGTAGCCTTCATCTGGTCAGGCTATCAGTCCAGCCTACCTGAAACAGAGTGTGCACTACACGTTGTTGCCTAAGCTATCCTCTTGGGCAAAAAAGGTCCATGGATCGATTCCTACCGAGCACAAAATAGAGTGAAAACCAAAATAGGCCCATAGGTCTAGTGATCGATTCTGAACACTAGCAACATCTAGCAACATCCAAATTCAGTACCACAAACAACACACGCTCACTCCGACATCCTTGTCCGCACATAACGCCTATGATACAGTCAATAGTAACTCCCTCCTAGCATCCATTGTCCACTCATACCCCAAATATCCTCCTACTTGCCGACTTAGTTTCCGATATCTTTCACAAAATTGTAATTGCGTTCACATACCTCGTCACACCTTGATGCAAATCGCTTCAGAATACGATAAAAAAAATCCCCAGTAAAATCATTTTAATCTCATTTCCTTTTTCATTGTCAACACCCGCAATCGTATCTCCGACCGAACTGTTGTGTTCTGCTTGATTCTATGTAGGTAGCTACTCACGATGGCGCTCTTTTGCCACTTACAACCCCATGACTTAAACGATTGGCCTGTTTGGAACTCCAACTTTTCGGCTGACCAAAGACTCCTGTCATTCTTGGATATTTGCACACAACCGACATACGAAAAACTGTCACTGATTTTCATCTCACAGCCAAGAAAGTCGAAGATACCGGTCCCATCATCAGTCCTCTTCAGGGTAAGATTTGCTGGATAACACTCTGCAAAGGAACTCACAATCCGTCGTACCTCGGCATCGGGCAATGATGACAGGATCAGCGTAACATCATCAATTAATCGGATTCCAAAAACATGTCTACGGTTTGCTCCCAAGCTTGCCATGAAGTGATACTATGCGTACGCACACATAATGCATGCCAACGCTGGCCTGGTACTTTTTCCCATTGGAATTCCAATCTCCTGTTTCAGGAGCGACCCCATGGCGAACGCATATGTATGACGTAGCTTAGAGCTTACAAACTTTACCAAGGCATCAAGTCATAGCAAACATCAATGGTCACCCCCTGTTGTCCTCCCGAAGGAGCAACCCTTCCCACGTGTGTTAATGCGCACGAAAGAACGACCTTTTTTGGTATGATATGCAACTAACCAATCCAAAGCCCGCAAGATCTCATGGTGGGGGAGTCGACTGAACATTTCCTTAATATCGAAAGACATGTCGTGTATTTTACGATGTCTACGAAAACAACCGATCTTTGAGTTGATGTACTTCACACGATCCGCGAGGTGTGATACCGCTTGCATGTTGAAGTGCCAATGGTGGGGAATGGAGAAGAGCAAGTGGTTGTCTCTTCGTTACTGTGGGTTCTTTGAAAGTAAGGCAGATTCGTCTATATCTTTCCAAGTCCTTATGCTTGCGCAAAACATATGTCGATCCTATGCTTCCCTTCGCATCCTACCTCACAATTTGTCTCACACCTACGACCTCCAAATCCTCTCTTGCTTTGTCTAGCACTTCCTTTTCAGTCCCCAAAACCACTTTGTACCCCGGATTGCAAACAAAGGTGGGCAGATCCCTTCAAAATATGTAACTGGGCACAAGACCAACATCTCTCCCAGATTCCGATCTAGTGGTGTGAGGACCAAACCATTCAGATTGGCTTTCACAGCCAACACATCTTCGACCGACAGGTAATTTTATGCATCATCTGTAGACTCGATACAGCATCCTCTCGAACACTCTCTATTGACCGTCAGGGCTCCTGTTTTACAATTATACCAGCCCTCAAAACCAACTACGATTTCATCTTGCAGCAGACCGATCCTATCCTTCACGCAACATCTTGGAATATTCTTGGTGTTGTGCACCAGTGGTAAACAGGTTACTCAGGCGGATCCGTACATGCCCTCCCGCTCTGGGAAGGGAAAAACCTGCGCAAGTGCAGGTAAACACTTCATGGGCAACATAGACCCGATAATTGTGCAAAATATCCACAACTGTTTGGTTCTTAGTCCAGACAATCCGAACCTTTTTACTTGCCCGCCGTTTGACACATGTAGGGAGATCGCATTCCATGATACGGTCATTCACCACCTTCCTAAGCTCAGACAACTTAATTCTATCATCATATTTTACCTTAATAGCGAGTTATGCCCTCATACTCAGACCAAAATGTTCCCTCGCAACATGGGATACCAACCTACAGAGGTATTTCCGAGTAGACTTGCGGCTGAAATCTTTAACCACATTATACAAAAGCACAAGTGAATTAATTATCCAGCAATATAGACTACGTAATTTCTCAGGGTTCCTCAATATGGACACTTAAACAAGTTTCAATTTATGGTTACGTTGCTTCCTCTTCCTCAAGTATGTGATCACGAAGTTGCCCCCCGCTTCCATTCGCTGCTTGGCATTTTTCAAAAGCAAGTTTGACCCCTCTACCCGCAATTTTCTCTCACCAAACGCCTGTCTGATCTCTTTCCATGTCGAATGTCAAACATTCACGCCTTCTACCGACAATTCAAATTTCAAATTGTCTCACGCCATCGTTATCACATTTCTTAAGCAGACTGCAAAGGTTAACACACCATCCATCTGAGACTTAGCACTTAACGCGAATCAGTACGATACTACGACCGATACCCGGATCATCCAACCCTTTCTCCTGACACCTCTCGTGTCTTCCCTTTCTTGTTGTCCCCATCTTCTTACCCGATCCAGTCACACCCTTCGAGTTAAGGTGGGAAAACCACTACTTAATATAGACATCCTCTATCAGGCTCTATGTGTAGCAACTCATTCCGTCCAACAGTGTCGATAGGTATCAACACATAGTTGGATATACCAAAATTACCCAGCCATTGGTATAGATGGGTCTGTGTGCGGTTTTTGCATGCGTAAATATGTTCCCGCCAACACTCGTTGACGTCTCGACATGTCTTACCTATGTATTGAAACTTACAAAAAGGTGAGACTGCGATATATACCACATTCGCTAGACCCAAAAAATCTACCTCGTAAGTCTCGTACAGTCTATATCAGACTTCCAAACATTTCCTATTCCATTGAATCTCTCCATATGAGGACGGACTGATAACTGTACCTTCTTAATTCTTGGGTCCATCGTCTTCGATTTTTCATGTAGTCTGTTACAAAATCTGCATAGCCGCCAGTACTCGGCAACACCCAGGTCTTCACACACAGCGGTATCTTCCTCGTTTGTCTCCTCCTCTTCAAGAGGTCCCTCCTCCTCCTCCAATTCCTCGACCGGATCATTCTCCTCTTTGTCTTTCGGGCCAAAGGCGATGTACGTGCGGTGATTTGCTAGATCGAATATCGTTTCGATCTTCCCGTTGTATGGTACTCCCTTATCATTGCACAATTTATGTAAAGTGATAGCATCTAGTCGCTTGAGACGTGCCATTTCTTCGGATCTATACCTGTAGCGACCCAGTAATCCACTGCTTGTTGGTTTCTTCATCTTCACTGCACTCGCCAACTTTTTAACGAACGTTGGTGACAACTTTACACGTCTCTTAGCTTTCGATGCAACAACTCTCAGCGTCTTCCTTCCCCCAGTCTTCAGACACGAACGTCGCGATGTTCGCTTTGTCGAACCTTCAATTGGTGGATTGTCACCCACATAGACTTTTGGGCCACGTTTGCGTTTGTCCTTCAAGGTGAGCTTGTTTGTTCTTACTGTCAGTTCCTCGGTGTTGCTTCTTGCATATCTGTGCGATGATTGACACTCATCTGACACATATCCAGGTTGTTTACCCTTTCCCTTCAGCAACTTTTGTCCTTCAGCTACGATCTTCAGGAATCCTGCTCTCATTTCATCCTTGAACTCACACATCTCGCTCTTCATCTCTAACCGCATATCCTTGCTCATTAGTGCATACTTTTCTTCCTCCATCTGCGCCTTCTTCACTTTCTTCTCAGCCTTCTTCCGTTTAGCTTCCTTCGCGACCTCGGCTTGCAGTCTCTCCGCTTCTTCCCTTTTCTTCACCTCTTTCCTCTCTTCTTTCTTCCAATTCTTCTCTTCCTTCTTGGCGCGGTCTAGATCGATATATTCTCGCAGTTGTGATTGCACTTCCCGATCCTGGGAGCTTGATCCCCGATGATAATTCCTCGGGGAGTATGATCTCCTTTGATGGGAATCACTCGACGCTGCAGGACGTGCCTTGTTCGAACCTCTCCAACCAGGTCTTGGGTTCTGGCACTGATTAGTATAGTGCCCTTCCTCACCGCACGCAAAGCATGAACGCGGGTTATGCCGTGACCCCCACTCATAACTTCCTTACCCACCACGTTCATTGTACCTTCCGTCTCCACGATCATTGTGCCGACCATTTCCACGATCATTGTATCCACCTCCACCGCGATCGTTGTAGCCGCTTCCCCTGCCATGTCCAACAGCTTCTCGATGTCCCTCTCTCTTGTGACATGCCCAGTTGGGCGATGTACATAATTAACCGGGGATCTGCAATGTGATGAAAAGGACGGAATGGACAATGCAGTGCTAGTGAAATCTCAACAAGCAGTGTTCATCCTGATACATACAAAATGGTGTTTTTATAGCGCCGTGGAAGATTTATATACAAGTCCTGACCTGATGGGGACTGACCTCTTTCACATAGTACAAGATAGCGAAGCAGAATGCTAGAATACTAATGACGAGCCCAATCAATGTCGCAATGCAGAGTAAACATACATCATTCTCACCACAAGGTGTGAAGGGGCCTGGCGCTATACACAGGAAGAAGGCGCCAGGTCCAGACATGCATAGACAAAGAGAAGGGGATCAGACGAAGAGGAGGAGGGGAGATGGGAAAGTCGTCAACACCCAGTCTCGTTACAAGTTCCAAATAATCCCTCGTGAAAATGTCTGAAGCCCATGTTGAGTCTGGATCCAAATGTCACCAAGCTCTCTCTCTCTCTCTCTCGTAGGCTGCTGATGCAGTGAAGTCAGGTAGCGAGAGGGTGAGAGGGAGATGGTGGACTGAGAAGAGGAAGAAGAAGAACTCT